AGAAGGACCTTGAGCCGTTCCCCTCCAACCCTCAAACTATCTCTTATCAGCATTCAAGAATCGCCTTCAGAGTACGCCTGCAAGAGCTCTTCCTTGCAGCCCCAAAGCTCCAAAAAAAAATAACGAAGCCCTAGAACCTAAACCCCTAAACCCCTAAACCCTAAACCCTTAATCCCTAAAACCCTATAAACCCTAAACCCTCAACCCCTAAACCACTAAAGCCCTATAAACCCTAAACCCTCAACCCCTAAACCCGGCGCCATCCGAACCGCAAAGCAGGCTCTGGAGTTCATGCACGAGCAGTCCATGATGCATTGCGACATCAAGGTCGGATGGTTTGTTTTAGGGCTCTTAAGGCTTTTGGGGATTTTTAAGGGGCCTTACGGCTTTGGGGGGTTGTTAAGGGTTCTTAAGGTTTTTTGGGATTTTAGGGGTTCTTAAGATTTTTTGGGGTTTTTAAGGGTTCTTAAGACTTTTGTATGATGCTGATGAGGGGTTCCATAAAGGTTCTTTTGGGGGTTCTGTACCTATTCTTCAAGAGGCGGGTTTAGGTTTCGTTTCGGGCGGTCACTAGGGAACTCCGTATAATGTCCAAATGCCATTCAATAAAGGGTTCTGGAAACCGCGAAAGAGAGTTATGAGTGCAGAGGTTCGAAAGTCGGTTTGAATCTGTGCGAAGCAACGGAGGGGAAGGAAGTCCCCTGGTTTCAATGATTTCATGAATGCGTCGAAGACCGTGACTCAGCACGGACGAACTAGTCGCGAGGCAAGACCCTCCGAACCACCAGCCCGGTCCTCGTGGTGGTCGGTCTAGTGCTGAGAGGACATCCGACGGCGAGACCAAAGTCGTTGCTATCACTATCGAAGTCGGGTCTCGCTTGAGCTGGCGCTGTCTCCTCCTGATGCCCGTGGAGTAGGTGCTAAGATGCCGACATGTTCGCCAGAAATGGCAGGGGCCCGTGCTTCGGATATGTTTCTGTGAGTCTCCTCAGGAGCTTCGGAGATGAACATCTGTTTGACGACCCTCGAAGACTAGGCTAGCTGCCAAACGCTCCGACTCAGGCTTTGCTCTGGGGATGGAGAGGGGATACGAGAACTGCGGACTATGCCCGAGCAAGGATCTTGAAGATCGCGCCGACACCCGTCGAAGATGCAGCAAGGGTTGGGGACGTGATGAATCCCTACAGGAACGCTGAAATTCTGGTGTAACAAAGCCCATAATTCAGGATTAGGTTGAAGAAGCTCTCTGGATGCTAAAGTCATGCTGCTGGACTCGCCTCCTCAGAAGTCCTGAGACGTCGCTGCCTAAGGAAGAATACTAGACATTAAACCCGAACCAGCCCACACCCGTTCAAGGCTTTCGAAGAACTTAGAACTCCATCACGCAGCCTGCTAAGCTTTGTGGCTTCTCGTGAGGAAAGCCTTTGACGTTGGACTTGCAAACCTGCTTAGTAGCTGAATGACTACGCTTTAAACTTTTTGGGACAAGATGATCCCTTATAGAACTGAAAGTGTACCCTTTTGCTCATGAGCTCAGCAACTAAGCGTGCAAAGCCCTTCGACAAGGCAATCACGGGGTCCCCGCGAAGAAACTTTGGCCCCGAAACCCCCAAACCCTAAACCCCAAACATGCACACAAAAAAAGCAGCACGAGCATCGCTTTTGTGCAACACTGGCAAGAAGAAGAGCAGCATGTGTACCAAGCATAGCCTCAACCAGGAGGCCCTTCAAGCACAAGAATCGAAAGCGGAGGAAGAAGAGGAAGAAGACTGATGGAACTGAACCAAGCATAGCTTCATCCCGGAGCCCCACAATGTCCTAAACCCAACATAGCATTCGAGAACAAGCCGAATGTAGGCTCAACCCTAACATACGAAAGCCCTCAGACCCAAACCTTGAGCATTCAACCAACCGTGGGACCCTGGGACATTCCAAAAATCAGGAGCCCAACATGATGATCCGAAATTCTGAACTTTAAGCCCTTCAATCCCCGCAAGAATCAGGAGCCCAACGTTAGGATCCGAAGTCCCAACCCGCAACCCTAAACCCCAGTGGGACCGCGGTTCCAAATGTCAGGAGCCCAACATTATGATCAAGTCACGGGACTTCCGGCAGCCCGAGGCGAAATCGACAGCGTAGCAGGGTGCTTAGGGTCTTAGGGTTTAGGGAATTCAGGGTTTAAAACCCTAAACCCTAAACCCTTGGGGTTTAGGGGGTTTAGGGGTTGGTCCGGTTGGTAGTTCACTAACCTTTCCTTTGGAAATGTGGGTTTAGGGTGTGTTTTAGGGTTTAGGGGTTTTAAGGGGTTGGTAGTTTTAGGAGGTTTCCTTTAGGGGGATTGCAGGGGTTTGCAGGGTTATCTTATATAGACATAGAGAATCGCGACCTATAGTATTGCTATTTTCCCCCGAAAACCTGTTCTAATTAATGTCACTATATTTGTTTGGATGTAGGGCTCGAGGGTTTCAGGGTTTCGGGGGTTGGGGTCCCGCGCTTTAGGTGTTTAGCGGGTTGAGAGGTTCAGGATTCAGGTTTTAAGGTTCGGAAGTTACTGGTTTAGGGTACCGAGGGTGTAGGACTCACAGGTTTACCGGCTTTTTGTTTTGACCTTAGGAGTTTAGAGGTGGAAGGGGCTTAGGGTTGTCACAAGGTCAGGGCTTTTGGGAATCCGACGCCAGGCGTGTGTTCGCTTTTGGGGCTCACTATGTGGGTAGTTCTCTAAATTAGGCTCCCATTTAGGGCCAGTTTTATAACGGTGCCGTACTACATTGGGGACCTGAAAGGGGACCGGTTCGGTGAAGAGAACATCCATTTTGCGGTTTAGGGTCGGGATTTAGGGATTTTGTGTTCAGGCGTTTGGGGGTTTAGGGATTTAGGGGTTTAGGGATTTAGGGGTGTAGCGATTTAGGGGTTTAGGAATTTAGGGGTTTAGGGGTTTAGGGGAGTTTAAGGATTTAGGGGTTTAGGGATTTAGGGGTGTAGCGATTTAGTGGTTTAGGGGAGTTTGGGGATGTGCAGGGTTTAGGGATTTAGGGTTTAGGGTTTAGGCGGCTCGGGGCTATCAGGAGCTTTGCAAGAGCCTAGCCTCTGTTCTCTCTTTCGTCCCTCCGACAATGTGCACAGAGCCTCTGCCGCATCAGAAATCTGGCAAGCCGAGTCGTCAGAAATGAATGCTGCATTTGCTGTGTCCTCCTTCCCGTGGGCACCTTACATGTGATCCGACTCAAGGGAGCAGTCCCTCAGGACCTGATCAAAGTCGGCTGTCACGAAGCCCCGACTCATGTTTTGTCATTCTTGTGTGCTGTTGTGCCCTTTTGTCTCGTCCTTTGGTCGAGGCGGCAAAGCTTCAGGGGTCTTGGCCTTCAGTTAGTAGCAGAATGAGTGCACTTCGGTTGATGGTATAAATCCTGCATGACCCATAGCAAGGAATATACCATAATTCCCATAGCTCAGGGTCTCTACAAAGGTAGTGCAGGATTTATATCATCAACAGTATTTACACGTTTTTGGCGGAAACCGTAGGCTAATCCCCTCTAGAACTGAAAGCTTGAAACTTCTTGGGGCCGTATGAACTCAGCATCTAAGTTTAGTAGGAGTTTAGAGGATGGGGTAGAGCGATTGGTAGTTTCGGGTTCCGGGTGTGCGGATTCTGGAGTTCAGATTTTAATTTAGCGTTTTAGAGTGGGGTGTCCCACATATACTGTTGATGATGCAATTCATTCATTACCTTGAGGACTCTAAACTACGGGAATAATGGTCTATTCCTTATTATGGTTAAGGCAGGATTTATATCATCAACCGTATCTTGCAACCTTGACGGACAATCAAAGCTGGTTTAGGTCTGCACCTCATCTCCTGCCACGTCGCTCTTGGGTTCCGGCTTTGCTGAAGAGAATTTCCCATGAGGGCATTCAGCGTTGGCGCTCTTTGTCAACGTTTGCGCGGGAATGATGCGTCCTGGCACACACACCCTAAACACTAAACCCCTCCCAACCCTAAAACCGTTCTCCTTCGGCTTCTCTCTGCATTTCTTGAGATTTTGTGCGGGTACCAGCCTCAGGCAGCCGGGGCCTGGTTGTATGTATCGGAAATGGTAGAAGAGACTCCGAAGATGTAGAGGGAACCTTGTAAAGACTCCCCAAAACAGAGCTCCGAGCCCTAACCGAAATACCGGAAACCCGGGGTTGAAGGCACCCCCGAAGCTGAAGAACTCTTCAGCTCCTGAACCCGGGATCCCCTCCTGCGTTTAGCTGCTTTAAGCACCGTAATAACTGAACAGAATTCAGTCATCCTTACTGCTTACCTTCAGGACCAAACGACAACCCTACACTGCCCTACACCCTCGGTTCTTAAGGTACGCCTTGCCCGCCATGAGCACCCTCCCGGAAGCCCTAAACCCTAAACGCTTTAAGCTCTAAACCCCAAGCCATAAAACCTTTATAGAAACCCTGTAGAGGAACCATTTAGAGGAACCCTAAAATCCCTGCAGCTTCACCACCGGAGGTGGTCGTCATCGATTTCGGCGTTTGCAGGGCCATGGTCACGGCACCAAACGGACTTGTGCTCAGTAGGGACGGGCTGTCTTCCACTCGAAGATGTTCACGAGCTTCAAGCTCGTACTTGTGACCAGTATCCTTTCACCCCTTTGCCTCCCTCCCTCCCTCCCTCTCTCTCTCTGTCTCTCTCTCTCTCGCTCTCTCGCTCTCTCATGCGTGTGCTGCTAGACTAGACCCAATAGCTAAGCCCTGATCCTTAAACCCATAGTTCAGCGAAGCTCGATCGCGCTCCGTCTGAGGCCCAAGCTCCATGTTCAGCACGATCAGGCTATAAGGAGTCTTTGCACTTCATGCAAGCCAGCCCAGCGCCGCCGTAGCCGTCGTCGTAGTAATGGGCCAGGTAAATCAAGAAGGGGCCTTTGTGATAACAGCAGGTCTTCTAGGGAGAACTGTTGTATAGTTCGTACAAAGAGCAAATTATTGCCTCTAACTCCTAGGGCAACGATGTTCGGCGCCCGTCTCGTCGCCCTTGCCGCTGTTTGGCTGCTCCCTGCCGGTGCACCCCCGGCCCCGGAGGACGAGTGCACACTCGAGCTGCAAAGTAACCTCACAGAGGACTGGGTGCTGGCACCGCAACGTTTGAAAACTCCGAGCCATAGCCCTTGGAGCCATCATAGAATCAAAAGCTGAGGCTTGTCAGGTAAGAACGTAGAGGCAGTGAAGTGCCTCAACATATTCCATACTACACATCCCCCTTATGCTAGCTTATCTACTGAGTAGGCCTGATCCCTAAATCCTAAACTTCAAAACCTTAGCTCTATACCCTACATCTTAAACACCTTAAATGATCCCTAGTGCCTTAAATTAACTCTAGTACCCTCAGAAGAATACAGGAAGTTTCCGGCAGCTGCAAGCCCGCTTGGGCGACTTCCCAAAAGCTGGCAGACTGTTTTCAGACATGCTCGCAGGCAGGGTTTAGGATTTAAGAGTCTCAAGTTGTTGATTATGGGCTTGGGTTTTTACACCCCAAACCCTACCCTTTCGCGGTTAAGGTTTAGGGTTTACGCTGGACGCCAAACTTCAGGCTCCGTTATTTGTCTCATCTTCTAAACACGTGTGGCTTTGGGTTTTGGGGCTTTTTGTGGTGGTTCGGATAAGCACCTTACCATTTGGGACCTATCTCAGGTTTAAGAAAGCTTAATGTAGCTCTCTCAGCAACAAGCCTGTTTCCTCGCGGACCCCAATATTCGGATCCATATCGCCATCCTTATTAGGGAGGCGGGTTGTCCTAGTTGCTCAAAGGCTTTGCTTCATTTGTCGGCATCTCGCTGTTCACCTGGAAGGTTTATGGGTAGCCGGACACGGTCAGAAGGGTTGCGAGGCTTTGCAGGTTGGGGGTTTAGGGAGCAGGGCAGGGGTTGCAGGTTTCCCTGTACTTCGAAGTAGAAGTACCTCACTTGTATTGCTGCATACACCCACCCATCCGAGCCTTCCACCGCAGGCGGCGTTGCTTGTGGAGCCCTTCTCAGCGCAGGGAAAATCAGCACAGGCCAGCCCCGAATCGGCATCTTGGCAGTGGAGTTTGAATTAAAATGACACTATATATAATACTAAAACAAGATACACTAAATACAATATAGCATAGAACAGTATAGTAAAATAGAAACAATAGAACAATATAGTATAAGATCGTGTAACAAATACATAATGTAGAGTATCATGTGAAGTTCATATATATAGTAACATGTTGTATTATAAAAATATGGTATAGCCTAATACCGTATAATAAAGCACAAGCTATCAAATCAATTTAGCAGCATAGTATAACTCAGGGTTTAGGGTTGGGGACCTTGAACATTTTCATTGCAGCTCGAGCCCAAAAGCCCCAATAGATAGCTTTGAGTCTCCTATCCAGATCTTGCAAAAGGCTGTGTGAAGTAGTCCTCTCTAAACCATATAGGTATCTTATAGGAGTACTCCTGGATTATTGGCTATTGGGCGTCCCCCGCCCCCTCCCCCCACCCCCCACCCCCGCCCAAAGCCCTCAAATCCTCTACCCTAAACGCTCCAAACCCTACACCGGACAAGCCAAGGCATCTCAACTGGGCGGCTGTGCTTGCCCGTCGATGAAAATCGACTGCAGCAAAGGGACCCATGAGTTTCCAAATGCCTGCAGCAACCGGTCTTGTTCATATGGGGGGGGGGGGACCTTAATGCTTAGAAGAGGACTCCTTTAAAGGGATCTATAAGGGCTCGATTAGGGATATATTGTATGGTGGCCTTGATGATTAGGATGGAGTTTTGGGGGCCCGTTATACGATGCTTATGCTAAGGGGGCCCCGAAAGAGTATTGGTAACTATTAAGGCCCCTATACTACTCAGGAACTCTAGGAGTCCAGATAACCTGAACAGGGTTCCATTAAGCGTTCCTTTAAGGGGTTACTACAAGCGCTTAATCTAGAAGCCTACCATACTTTCACTAGGGTCCCATAGGGCTCCGTACTGTACGGAATAGTATCAGATATCCCACAACACTATGAATTTTTTTAGACTACGATATTCGGAGCTTATAGGAGTTCATCGAACTGTCTTGGAGAGTTCTCGATGTTTCTGGTTTAGGAACCTACAAGACTGCATAAAACTATGCCATGGGGTTTCTCGATGGCTCCAGGAAGTTCAGTTGGGTCATGGGTGTTTCTTGTTCGTTCGCTTTTGCAGCGTTGCGTTAAGCTTACTGCAATGGGGCCAAGTCGTAAAGATCCTGCTCTGTGCACTAGTATAAGTTAAGTTGAAGTCGTTAACAAGTATTCAGGCACTTCCAAGACGCTCCTCCATGATCCTGACAAGCCCGATGAGGAGCCGAGCCTTGCCGAGTGTTTAAAGGTGAGTCTTCGAAGTGGTTGCGACGCAGAGTTCCGTAATGCTTTGTAGGCAGTCTTAGTATTCTAGTTTGTAAGATTTGGAATGTTTTGCGGCTGAACCCTTTAAAGCAAAAACTGCCGAAAGTCATTGATTCATGAACTGGACAGCTCAGTGCTGGTAGCTATTTCGTCGCGTTCTACGCGTTCAGCAAGAAGGGCACGGATCAGACCGAGACGGTAGTGGAAACAAGGCTGGTGACCACACTTCAAGACACCAACTCAACCGTCTGCTCGGGAACCTACAAGGCACGGTTGAGGTCTTTAGGGCTTCGGAGTTGAAAGTCTACTTGTAGCCCCAAACACCTAGCTTCATAGGTTTTTACCTAATGGGTTTTTACCTAGCTTCATAGGTTTTTTTGGTGCTACATTTCAAGAGCCTTAACTTCAGTTTCGGCGCGACATTTTCTCAAGTTACTAGCTGCTACGGATCTTCAACTGACCCGAAGAACTCAAGGACTTGAAACCCAAAGAAGCTGCGAAGACTCCAAATTCAAGGAAGTAGTTATTCCCAAAAAGCTACTATGAACAGTCAATTATGAAGTTGTTACTATGGTTATTATAACAGTTAGTACGAAAAGCTAGTGCTAATCGCTTGCACTGACAGATAATGCTAGTAGCTATTATTACTATGCCTGGCTATCAAGAGCCATGTGCCTGAGGTAACCAAGGGGCGCTGTTTCGGCATCGACGTCACCAAACCTGAGCACATTCCTGCAGAGGCTCCACCACCTCCGCCAGAGCGAGACGGCATGCCTGGGCCTTTTCCCACACTGGACGACGAAGGCAAGACCATCGAGGCAACCACCACCACGACCACGACGGCTCCATCACCTTCCAAGGGCAACCACGGCCATGTTGGATGGATCGTCGCTGCGGCCGATGGGCTCCCCCATAGTACCCTTCTTCCTTCTTTGCGTTGGCGCTCCCTTCTGAACATCAGCTTTAGAAACAAACCCAAAACTATGATCCTGCAACCCGAAAATATAGGGAATATGGGGATCGGATGCCATCCCCTTATAGTCCTTTTGTAAGGATACCGAATGATCCCTAAGACCCTAGCCTAGTTATTCAGGCCCCCACCCTAAAACCCCAAAACCCTAAGCCCTAAATCCCCAAAACCCTTAAATCCCAAAAGCCTAAACCCCCAAAACCCTAAAACCCTAAACCCCGAATATCCTAAAATCCGTAAACGCTAAAAACCCCTAAACCCAAAACCCCTTAACTCCAGGCCCTGCCTAGGTCGTGGTTCTTCTGGTGCTGGCCGCCCTGTACCTCCGCCACCAGCGAGTCAAAGGAGCTCGCAGGCGGCTTCAGGAGCCTAACGAGACGCTGGGCTTCATATAGGGGCCTTTAACAGGATTTAGGGCTTGGGGGTTTTAGGGCTTAGGGTTTAGGGTTTTGGGCTTAGGGCTTTGGGTTTAGAGTTTTGGGTTTAGGGTGTAGGGCTTAGGGTTTAGAGGCCTGTATCATTACCCACCACCAAGCTTGATGATATAAATCCTGCATCACCCAAATACGGAATATGCCAGAATTCCCGCAGTTTAGGGTTTCTTTGTATTGAAGGGATCTACTTAGTTCTCCAATACCCAACCTCTACGCTTTTGGGGTTCTTAGAATTTAGTAATCTGAAGTTTAACCATGTATGTCCCTGGCTTACTATTGGGGAAGTTAGAATTATAGGGGCCTTAAAAATTGCCTATACTATATTGGGGGGTGTTCCATGTTATAATCGTAGTAGAATGGGCCCCAAAACCCTATTCTAATGATTTAGGCCCCGATGCGCGTTTAGCAGTATAGGCTTCCAAATAAGGCCCACCACGATTTAGGGTTTCATAATATAATATGATATATTCTATACATTATATTATGATATGTTATAATATGTTAGAAACATAATATGATAGGATATCCTGTCATGCCACATAGTTTAATTTAGTTAGGGTCCAGGGTTTAGGGTTTAGGGTCTGGGTAGTTAAGGGCCGACCTTCATGTAGGGGACGGAAAACTTCTTTATTGTTACACGTGTAAGAGAATTTGCCCCAAAACCCTAGTCTATCTATTCAGTGGCTTAGATGGGGCCAAGAAAGGCACCTAAACAGAAGGATCCTAGCTTTGGTGTATAAGGGTGCCTATCAGAAATCATGCTCTCGCAGCTAAGCTTACACTTCGTGTCGGGCTGGAGGATCGGATTGCAGGGCTTAGCGGTTTAGGGGCTTGATTGAAAACGCTTGAGCCTTGATTGTTTGAGGGTAAGCCCCAAACCCGAAACCCTGCAACCTCAACCCCTAAACCCCCTCAACCCCCAAACCCCCGAAACCCTAAACCCCGAGCCCTTCTTAACGAAGGATGGAGATGAACAGCACCTTCAACCAGTTCTGAGCAGCTCGAGACATCTCAAAGAAAGGGCCACCGATGGGGCGTGGGGAAAAGGTTTCTGGTGCTCTTCTTAGCACTTACAAACCGACCCCTGGGAGGATCCAGTAACCCGTAAACCCTAAACCCCTAAACCCTAAACCCCTGAACCCTAAACCCTAAACGCCTGAACCCTAAACCCTAAACCCCTGAACCCTAAACCCCTAAACCCCTAAACCCAATAACCCGTAAACCCTAAACCCCTGAACCCTAAACCAACAAAGTAGATCCCTTTAAGTCCGGGTGGTGAAGTTTTGTTGGGACAGGTTCTAAGAGGATTCTCCAGGGCTCTATTCGGATTTGATAGGGCTCCCAGACGGATGATTCTTATTATTATTACTATTATTATTATTACTATTGTTACTATTACTATTACTATGACTATTATTATTATTGTTATTGTGATTATTGTGAATACTAGTATTTTTATTATATTATTATTATTGTTCCTACCAGGGCGGAGGGTTCTACAAGCGTTCTCTGCAGGTTCGGCGAAGTGTTGAAAGGGGGGTGTTACCAGCATCCGACGGGTTCGGGTTTAGGATTTTAGGGGTTTTAGGGTTTAGGGGTTTAGGGTTTTAGGGTTTAGGGGTTTAGGGTTTTAGGGTTTAGGATTTGGGGGTTTAGGGTTTAGGGCCAGAGCTAGTTCAAAGGTGGCTCTTGCGGACGGTCGTGAGCTCTTTGGGATGTCGGCCTTTTCTCAGAATTAGGGTCCCTGGTAGGCTTCCGTTTAAGAGTGGCGTATGTTTGCTGGGATCCAAGAAGAGGTCCAAGTAAAAATGAACTCTTGGTTTACCTGATGTGTTGCTTATATCAAGGACACTGGGACCTTATCGACGAGCAGCACAGGATGTCGTTTAGGATCATGCTGTAGCCCGTACCAGGGCTCTAATACGACACGTTTCCTTACTAGGGTTCTAGATTATGATTCTACTTTGACATAGTGCTTGAAAGCCACGCATCCTTTGGGGTTACCGTGCGCAATATTCACAGCAGCTCGCTCATCGTTTCCTTGTTTGCGAAAGGACTTTCCTCGTCAGTCAGCTTTGAACCCGACTCTCTCCAAAACCCGAAGAACCCATGACCTCGGAACCCTAAAACACCAGCCCTGACGCAACCCGCAGAAAAACCGTCGGGCCCCTTCAAAGTCAAAGCCTCACATCCCCCTAAACCCTGACTGGTCAGTTCCCACACCCCGTTAAGTCTTTGCAGTGGTCTGATAGGGTTCTCTAGGGTTTCATAAGATTTTAGGTTTTTTGTGGGCTTTATGAGCTTTCACAACAGTTCTCACCTGGGACGGTTGTCGCACAGCAGGGCAGGGCAAAGCGAAGCAAGGAAGCTAGAGGTGGCAACCTCTTTTTCGAGTCTAGAGGGTTTAGGGTTTAAGGGTTCAGGGTTTTAGGGTTTAGGGGTGTAGGGGTTTAGGGGTTTAGGGTTTAGGATTTAGGGGTTTAGGGTTTAGGGGTTGGAAAAGTCGGGCAAAAGTGTAGGTGAATTCTGGGTTTAGTGCTTTCGGTGGTTTGGGGTTTCGGGATGTTGGGTTCAATAGAAAGCAAATGCGTGATGCCCTTATTGAGTGAATCCTCGATCTGGAAACTTAGGGAATGTTTCTGGCTTCTGCCCTCGGAATCAGACAACTTAGCACCTCAGCGGCTGAGAGGTAAGTTTTAGCATTTTGGGTTTATGCACTCCTGCTAGCATCGCTAGATTCACCTGTTTCCCGGCACCAAAAACAAGTTACTCACCAAAGCCATGAAGCACAGAACTTGAAGCAAGCCTTACTCTAAAATGTCAAGACTTTTGCAAAATCCCCTTAAACGCAGAAAAACCCTGCTAAAACCCCGAAACAACCTGTAAAGCGCACCCCGAAACCCTTCAAATCGAGACAATACTCAGGAATGCCAGGCGGAACGCTCGGCCCTCTGGTGGTTGTTGGTGGTCTTAGTAGCTGAGGTTTTAGGGTTTTGGGTTTAGGATCCTTAAGTAACTTAGTAGCTGAATTACTACACTTTACATTTTTGGGATGATATGATCCCTTGTAGAACTGAAAGTGTACACTTTTTTGTGCTTATGAACTCAACAACTAAGTGGGCACACACGAGCATTGAACGTGATGTAGGGGCCTGAGATAGTTTTTTGTTGTTTTTTGTTGGGGGGGGGGGGGAACCCCAGAATAGCATTGGCAATTTATTTAGGCCCCTATATTAGGGCTCGGAATGGGTAGTTATGTGATGCCGCAGGGTCTGTTTATTTCATCTATAACATGGGTAGTTCTCTAAATTAGGATCCCTTTTAGGGTTAGTATTAGAAGGGTGCCGTACTATGTTGGGGACCTAAAAAGGGACCCTAATTTAGAATACTACCCATATAGACACCCCCAAGCCCCAGTTACCTTGATTCTACCCGATCATTAAACCCTCAACCCCTACGGTTGATGATATAAATCTTGCATTACCCATAATAAGGGTTTAGGATTTAGGGTGCAGGGCTTAGGGTTTAGGGTTTAATAGCAAAGGATATGCCATAATTCCCATAGTCTAGGGTCCTTCATGTAATGCAGGATTTCTACTTTCAACAGTATGAGGGAGTTGAAGAAGAGTCATACAGCCATGGTCCCTACACGAAGAGGGCTTATTCGTCTTCAGTGAGTCTGAATCTAAAGAGCCTAAACCCCAAACCCTCAACCCCAAACCCGAAACCCTGAACCACAACCCTAAACCGCAAACCCTAAACCCCAAACCCCAAACCCGAACAATTAAACCCCAAACCCCAAACATCGTAGCAATGTTACCTTGCAAGTGTGTGCTCGGCGTGGAAGTGTGGAGGTCGCCACGGTTTAAGGGTTTAGGGTGTAGGGTGGGCATAAAGTTTATGGCTTATGGCTTAGGCTGCCTCTTTTGAACCCTAAGCCAACTCCCAGAAATCCTGAAGCTTAAACCAGAACAGGGTCAGAGGGTAGGGCTTAAGGGGTTTAGGGTTTAGGGCTTCGGGTTTAGGTTAGAGAAATCATAGCCCACCCACGTTGTCTACTTACCAAGTCATTTGATCCTGTTGTTATAGCCTCCAAGCCTCCACCCTCCACTTCTCCAAGGCCGGGCTACATGCCTCCAGAGACCATCCAGCAGCGCAAGTGGCTGCCGCGAGGCCTGCGGATTTCGGAAGCAGTGCCGGTAGCTCTGGTCGAAGAGCTGTTTAGTATGAGACTCTGAGCCATTAGTAATGATATCTCCTTCTCTGTATGCATCTTTGTAATTGGCCCAACACCCTATTCTAGTCGCTCAGGCTTCTATTTTCGGACCTAGGCCTTGGGATAAGTTGGAGGCTGTGAAGGGTGTAAAGTGCTGCAGGGAAAGCGTACTACGAAGATACTCCTCCTCCTCCTACTACGACTAGGAAAAGCGTACTGTTGCTTGGGCGGGGTCCGGACCTTTTTTACCCCAGCTGAAAGCTACAGGCTAAGTCCCCTTGCAG